TGGGATGTATTTAAACTAGGAGGGGGGGGGGGCAAAAGGGTGATAAAACATCAATCCAATTGTCCCCCAAAACAAGGACAGAAGGTGCCTGTAGCAAGTGTGTTAAAAAATGATAAGTTTAGAGTCATGTCTACAAATGCTCGCAGTTTAGGGAATAAGATCCATGAACTTGTGGCAATAATGGCAACTGATAGTGTAGATTTAGTCGCTGTTACTGAGACATGGTACAATGAGAAAATGACTGGGACATAGCAATACCAGGGTACTCTTTATATAGGAAAGATAGGGAAGGCAAGAAAGGGGGAGGGGTGGCCTTGCATGTGAAGGATAGCATAAAATCTAGCCTAATAAAAGTTAGTGAGGCAAACATAGAGTCCGTTTGGGCACAAAACAAAAGTTTTAGACCTTTAGGAAAACAGACTTTCTAAAATTAGAATATGGGTGAGGGAGCTTGCCAATGACTGGAGAAATTTAAATGGAGTCCAAGAGAAATGGGATTATTTAAAAGTTGCACTATTGAAGGCAACAGAAAATTGCATTAGGCTTGTCAGTAAAAGCAAAAAATTCAAGAAACCACTGTGGTACTCCGCAGATGTGGCAAAAATAGTTAAAAACAAAAAGTTAGCATTTAGGAATTATAAAAAAACCCAGAGTGAGGGAGACAAAATGATCTATAAGATTAGGCAGAAAGAGGCTAAGCAAGTTATAAGAGCTTCCAAATCACACACAGAAGAGAAAATAGCACAGTCAGTAAAAAAAAGGGGATAAAACATTTTTTAGATACATAAATGAGAAAAGAAAAGTAAAACAAGGATTAGTTAGATTAAAAACAAAAGAAGGAAGGTATGTAGAAGAGGATAAAGGTCAGGCTGACTGCCTCAATGAATATTTTTGTTCTGTATTTACAGAAGAAAATGAAGGAAAGGGACCTCAGTTGAGAAAAAGGATAAATGAGCCATTTATTACACGTGAGTTTACAGAGGAAGAGGTTCTATTTCAACTGTCAAAAGTAAAAGACAAATAAGTCAATGGGACCTGATGGAATACACCCAAAGCTATTAAAAGAGCTTAGTGGTGTACTAGCAAAACCATTAACAGATTTATTTAATCAATCATTGTTAACAGGAGTAGTCCCAGAAGATTGGAAGTTAGCGAATGTTGTGCCCATTTACAAGAAAGGTAATAAGGAGGAGTCGGGCAACTATAGGCCAGTAAGCCTTACTTCAGTAGTGGGAAAAGTGATGGAAACCATGTTAAAGGATAGGATTGTTGAACATCTAAAAACACATGGATTTCAAGATCAGAGACAACATGGGTTTACTTCAGGGAGATCATGCCAAACTAATCTTATTGATTTTTTTGATTGGGTAACTAAAATTTATAGATCAGGGTGGTGCAGTAGACATTGCTTACCTAGATTTCAGTAAGGCTTTTGACACTGTTGCACATAGAAGGCTTATCAATAAACTGCAATCTTAAGTTTGGATTCCAATATTGTTGAATGGGTAAGGCAGTGGCTGAGTGACAGGCAACAGAGGGTTGTAGTCAATGGAATATATTCGAAGCTTGGACTTGTCACCAGTGGGGTACCTCAGGGATCTGTACTTGGACCCATTCTCTTTAATATTTTTATTAGTGATACTGCAGAAGGTCTTGATGGTAAGGTATGTCTTTTTGCTGATGATACTAAGATATGTAACAGGGTTGATGTTCCAGGAGGGATAAGCCAAATGACAAATGATTTAGGTAAACTAGGAAAATGGTCAGAATTGTGGCAACTGACATTTAATGTGGATAAGTGCAAGATAATGCATCTTGGACGTAAAAACCCAAGGGCAGAGTACAGAATATTTGATAGAGTCCTGACCTCAACATATGAGGAAAGGGATTTAGGGTGATTATTTCTGATGACTTAAAGGTAGGCAGACAATGTAATAGAGCAGCAGGAAATGCTAGCAGAATGCTTGGTTGTATAGGGAGAGGTATTAGCAGTAGAAAGAGGAAGTGCTCATGCCATTGTACAGAACACTGGTGAGACCTCACTTGGAGTATTGTACACAGTACTGAGACCGTATCTTCAGAAGGATATTGATACCTTAGAGAGGGTTCAGAGAAGGGCTACTAAACTGGTTCATGGATTGCGGGATAAAACTTACCAGGAAAGGTTAAAGGATCTTAACATGTATAGCTTGGAGGAAAGACGAGACAGGGGGGATATGATAGAAACATTTAAATATATAAAAGGAATCAACACAGTAAAGGAGGAGACTATATTTAAAAGAAGAAAACTACCACAACAAGAGGACATAGTCTTAAATTAGAGGGACAAAGGTTTAAAAATAATATCAGGAAGTATTACTTTACTGAGAGGGTAGTGGATGCATGGAATAGCCTTCCAGCTGAAGTGGTAGAGGTTAACACAGTAAAGGAGTTTAAGCATGCGTGGGATAGGCATAAGGCTATCCTAACTATAAGATAAGGCTAGGGACTAATGAAAGTATTTAGAAAATTGGGCAGACTAGATGGGCCGAATGGTTCTTATCTGCCGTCACATTCTATGTTTCTATGTTTCTATGTTTCTATGTTGAAAATAAAAACTCAATCTCAAAATCAATTTCTACCAACTATTAATATGTATAGGCAGACAGATAAAACGACACACACCTTCTTGTGATACAACATTGCGTCCACTTCTCCTGAATTTAAAGATCTTGACCGAGTCCGCTTCTGAAAAATTAAATTACAGCAAAAGCATCAGATGAGAACATGTTTACCTTTACAGATAAGATAAGAAAGTTTTTGTTTACATTTCTACAACTACTGGTTTTTTTTTTATGCACATGGAAAGATATTCATACATTTGCTAAACTCCCATGAGCCACACATGCTTTGGTCTGCAATGTGAGCAGAAGTTAGATAATTCTCTCTGCATGCCGACAAGCTAACAGCGTACATTAGAAAACAAAATAAAACTCCTTTACAGCAGGCAGGGGTGTAATTAAGTACAAAACTGTTCCATATCTAGGTAAACAAAATTCAATGTGCTCTTTGTTACTTGCAATCTTTCCAGTACACATATGAATGCATATGGTACACCAGGGCCACATAAATAAACAATGAAGGCAAAGTTTGATACCCTTCAAACTCCCCAGAGTCTCTGATCACCAGAAACATTTTGCAACATTGCAAATGATAAGTACAGTATATCATAACTGCAGAAATTTGTAGAAATGATAGTAGCAAAAGGATGGTACCAAGATTTTTCAGTCGGGCATCCAGAATTCTCATTTCACTGTTGCCCATAACAATTTTTTCGTGCGACATGTGCATGTCCAGGTAGGTAAGATCTTTGCTCCGGATTGATAAGCCGAGAACATGTGCAGTCAATGGCTCTGCCGATCATTGTGCACACAGCGCAATGTGAAGCGGCTGTGTGTAGACTGACACTTATGGAGAAATGTCTAAAGTAGTTAGTCTGTGCATATAGATATAAGTGGGGAAATTGTGCACGCTTGTGTATAAAGCCGACACTACTGTACAAAGAATTAGGCACTTGCCTGACATGCCAGCTTTAGACGGGGTGGCTTGCTGGTCTGCGGACCAGAAGGAAGGCAAAAATCCTTTCTGACCGGAACGGCATCCCTTTTACTATAGCTATATATTTGGGTTTGGTCAGATGTATGAATCTGTGTATCGGTGTATGAGTGGAAGTCAAAATATATATATATTTGCTACACATATATACACAGACACACACATACACATATATACACAGACACACACATACAAATATATACATATATATATATATAAGTATATAGGGGTGTACCTAGGGCATATGGCACCCGGGGCGGGTCCTGGGTTTGGCACCCGCCCCCTATCCCCCCCCATCCCCCCCTTCTCAAAAAAAAAAAACCTACTACATTTTTAAAATGTGTTATTTTTTTACATTTTTTAAAAAATGTATTGAACAAATTTGTAAACTTTTTAAAACCCCTGCCCCCCTCTACAAAATCCCTGCACCCCCTCACACACAGTTACAGGCAGACAGTCACACACAGTTACAAGCAGTCACACATACACAGTCACATGCAGACAGTCACACATATAGTCACAGGCAGTCATACACACAGTTACAGGTAGAGAGTTACACACAAACACAGTCAGTTACACACAGTCACGCACACTGTTACAGGCAGACAGTCACATATACAGTCACACACACAGTCACAGGCAGACAGTCATACACATAGTTACAGCCACAAACACACACAGTTACATACAGTTACACACAGTCAGTTACAGGCAGCCACGCACAAAGTTACATGCAGACAGTCACATGCAGACACTATCACACAGTTACAGGCAGCATCACAGTCACAGGCAGACTGTCACACACAGTCACAGACAGTCACACTCAGTCACAGACACACAGTTACAGATAGACAGTTACGCACATACACACAGTTACAGGCAGACCGTTAAACACACACAGTTACAGGCAGTCAGTTACACACACATACATACATACATACATACACATATTTACAGGCAGACAGTTATACACACAAGACAGACAGTCAGACACACACACAGTTACAGACAGACAGTCACACACAATTACAGACAGACAGTCTCTCACACACACACACACACAGTTTCAGGCAGACAGTTACACACATACACACACAGTTTCAGGCAGACAGTTACACACACAGTTTCAGACAGTTACACACACACACAGTTTCAGACAGTTACACACACACAGTTTCAGACAGTTACACACACACAGTTTCAGACAGTTACACACACACACAGTTTCAGACAGTTACACACACACACACACAGTTTCCCCAGGCAGTTACACACACACACACACACACACACAGTTTCAGGCAGTTACACACACACACACACACACACAGTTTCAGGCAGTTACACATACACACACACACACACACAGTTTCCAGGCAGTTACACACACACACACACACAGTTTGTGCAGTTACACACATAATACACATACACAGCTTCAGGCAGCGGCACACACACACACACACACACACACAGTTTCAGGCAGTTACACACACACACAGTTTCAGGCAGATAAAGTTACACACACACACACACACAGTTTCAGACAGTTACACACACACACACATAGCTCTCAGGCAGTTAAGCACACACACACACACAGTTTCAGGCAGACAGTTACACACACACACAGTTTCAGACAGTTACACACACACACACACACAGAGTTTCAGGCAGTTACACACACTCTTATACTTACAGGCAGTGTGGGCTGGAGGAGTGGATTCCCTGGCCTGAAGTCCTTCCCTGGCTGGAGGTGGAGGTGCAGGGATTTCTACTTGCTCCACCTCCATGTGCAGCAGTTAAGGACCGTGTTAAGCCCCACCCCCGCTCGCGATTAGGCTCCACCCCCAAACGGCAGTAGCTCCGCCCCCTCCTCCCGCGCAGCCAGTTCATCTTTCTGGTCTCCGTGAGCTGTGCGACACCCCAGCTGCCATGGGGCACAGCTCACACAGCCCCAAGACCAGGGTCAAGGCACCCCCTACCAGGTGGCACCCGGGGCGGACCGCCCCCTCCGCCCCCCCCTTAGTCCGCCACTGAATGTAACATTCATTTATTTTGCAAAATCAATACAAATCACCGTTTAGTGAATATACCCCATAGAATGCTGCGGACACCAACAGACCTGTATTAAAATATGCGGTATATACCGGTCTAAAGATATTGTAATATGTCATGTATTGTCATTAACCAATAGTGAAATAAACGGTTTGGTGGAAAGTCACAATGTAACATTGTTTTATTTTTGTATCTTCTAATGGTTTGTCCTGGATTAATGTGAGCGCTATTTGTATTACCAGTACAGTATAATTATAGTCACTAAGCTAATGTTAGTAAATATCAGGAGAATTTAGAACATCCACAATGCTCAACGTTCTAATGGCAATCAGGATGTGCCTGGTGTCAGTCTGCCTGTTATCATGGCAATGCCTCTGAATTGGGACTGATCTGATGGACTTAATTTATGGATAATGTTATGACATAATGCATAGCATTACCCATCAGAATTGCTAGAATTAAGTGGTATCCTGTCTAGCAATGAATCGTATTCACTAAGCATCCATTTAAGGTGATTTGGCCAATTTACAAATAATGTGTTAAAATATTAGAATTGGGGGGAAAAAATTCTCCAAACCTGATGAGCGTCCTTATTTTGACTTTGGTTTTTCAAATCCAGGTATCTATTCATTGTGTGGTTAACAAATCACTTAGTAGTTTGATTGATTCTACATAATATAAGGCTATTCACTAATATCCACATTAAAAATTTAAGTTTAAATATCCAAGCTGTGGAAGTAGCTGAGATTGAAACTTTTTTTTCTCAGCCTCAGCCAAACGGAGTAAGTAAAAAAAAAAGTTGAACTGCCTGAATTTGGAAAAAGTCAAAGTATTTTAATTGTTATCTAACTCAACATTAAGGCTGGACTAAGAAACGAAAAAAAATAATTAATAATAATCAAATCATATCTTTATTTGAGAATGTTCCCGTTTCAGCTACTTTAGTCCAGGATTTTACAACTTAATTTCCAGTTTACTACAAGTCAGTGTTCAGTTATTAGATGTAATGCTGTCTTTCACATTTAGGAGAATAATTCAACAATATTAAATTAAATAAATAAAAAAAAATTAGTGTTTTTATTGCATTAACTTTCCACAATATCTGTAAATTATTCCTACATAACAATCTACAGCAAGATCGAAAATGAACCATCATGGAAAGTTATATATATAGTATTTATGTATTATTAATTATTATTATATATTATTAATATTATTTATTCCGTGTTAATGTTGTACATTGTACGTGGTTATTAAACATGCAATCGATCTCAGTTTGTTAATTCTAATGTCACTCCATGAATTAAACATTTGTATTATTTAAAACTTTAATTATGACTGTAGTTGGCGTTATTGTGTTATTCCTCATTTCCTTAATAATAATTGTAATTAGCTGGTGAGAAGGAAATATTTATAAATAAAGTAGTAGCAAAAAAGCCTCTCACTGAAGGGTAGGTCCCCTTATAATATACTGGGTGCATGCAAGCTCCCTCATTGAAGAATGGTCCCCTTATAATAAACTGGGTGCATGCAAGCTCCCTCATTGAAGAATGGTCCCCTTATAATAAACTGTGTGCATGCAAGCTCCCTCATTGAAGAATGGTCCCCTTATAATAAACTGTGTGCATGCAAGCTCCCTCATTGAAGAATGATCCCCTTATAATAAACTGTGTGCATGCAAGCTCCCTCATTGAAGGGTGGGCCCTTATAATAAACTTGGTGCATGCAAGCTCCCTCATTGAAGAATGGTCCCCTTATAATAAACTGGGTGCATGCAAGCTCCCTCATTGAAGAATGGTCCCCTTATAATAAACTGGGTGCATGCAAGCTCCCTCATTGAAGAATGGTCCCCTTATAATAAACTGGGAGCATTGAAGAATTATCACCGTATAATAAATTGGGTGCAAGCAAGCTCCCTCATTGAAGGGTGGGCCCTTATAATAAACTTGGTGTACCCAAAACCTGTCATGAAAAGTTGTCTCCCTTACAATAAACCGTGTGCTCATTCGGAAAGACCCTTTGCTGAAGATATTACTGACCTGCACCCTCACTTCAGGGAGGTTGACTTTCATAGCCAGTTCTTCCCGGCTGTAGACATCAGGGTAATGGGACTTCTCGAAAGCTCTCTCCAGTTCATGGAGCTGGTAGGTGGTAAAGGTGGTCCGGTTTCTCCTGTGCTTCTTCTTGGGCTGTTCATCATCAGAAAGTTTATTGGTATCACTGCTGTTAGAGGCCGATAGGCAGGGGCTCAGGCACTCACTGGACCCTTTGGTACAGTAGGAGTCTACAGAAAAGGAAACGCAATGTTTACATGAGAAGGGAACTTCCTTTAATTTGATGCCTTAACTGCAAAAGGAACCGCAAAGAGACTCATATTCGGCAGTTAACGGATTAAAGAATCTATTCAAAGTGAATTGTGCGGAAATTATAAATTCGCAACCTACCTGCTGGAGAAAAATTAAGTTAAATTAAATTAAATCTAAATTCTTCAATTCCCTACCCCCTGCCTAAAACATGTTATTTGTGAATCTATTAGAATCCTGATGATGTTCATAAATGTTTAGTTTAATCCTTGAAATAATGAATGAGCTGTAATACGACCATAGAGGTAGGTAAACTTTAATTCAATGAGATATCTCACTCCATGATCTGTCAGTCTATTTATCAGCATATTTATCTCAGTATACTCCTAAAAACTATTTTTTTACTGACATATTATCTGCAGTTATTTTTTTTTCTTTCCGATAATTGGATAAATACCCCTTATTAAAGTTAATCTGATCTCTGTCTGTCTATCTAGTTTCTAACAAAGTTCAGTTCTTACCCCCATAGCCATCATCATGTCTGTCCTCCAGATCACTCTGCTGGGGCTGTATCTCCTCTGACATTTTGTGCAGACAGTGCTTAGAAGTCCTAGTCTCTGCTTCCTTGCCATTCCTGAGACTGCCCTCTGTCTGGAATGGGCTCAGGACACTGTCCTCTTTAGAAAATCCCAAGATGGCTTCTATGCTGTGGAGTCTGGAAGTGTTTCCTCCTGGACTCCTGACCAAATGTCCAGAAAGAGAGAAGTTTCCATCTGCCATGAGGGAAGGACTGTGCAGGTGCATGGGTGGGGGGGTCCTTCTTCAATTTCAAATACTGGGTTAAAATCAATTCTTTCCTTGAAAGGAGGAGAAATTCAGCTAAAATATCATAGGTCCTTTGGGAACTGCAATTAGTCTTTACAATTAAAAAAGGAGAAAAAATGCTTCTGATCCCAGAGATATTTTTGTTTTCCAAGAAAAAAAAAGAAAGGTTTCTTAAATGTGGAATTTTAAATGACTTAGTGTGATCGTCTATCCCAGAGTGACAGACCCAGAACAAGCTGCAAATCTTCCTAAGGCAGGCTGATTCCTTTAAGCTGGCTGTATATCAGATCCTTCTGGATAGTTTATGGATGTCTGGCTGTCCTTGGAGTGGAGAGGATCATTTCTTTCTGACCTCTCTAGCAGCAGTGACTCAGCTCCAGCTTTGCTGAGATATTTTAAAGCAATTCCTGCCCTGTGTTCTTTGTGAGTATGTCAGCTGTCCCTGCTGTGCCCTCCAAAGCTGTCACATTATCATTAAATGAGGCTTTTTGTATGTTTTGGACAGTACCTGCAATGAGAAGATCTTTCCTATAATCCCTCCTCCTCAACCACAAAACTTGCTAGTTTGTCAGCAACAAGGACCAACAGCAATATTGTTTTAATCTTGTCCCCTCTCCACAAATTTAAAAAATAATTCACTATATTTCTGGAACATCACATTTTGCACTGTAGAAATATTTTGAGATGGGTCATAAATATTTTAACCTTTTCAGTGACAGAGGAGAAAGGCAATAAAACTCATTCTCGTGTACTATTCCATTCAACGTGTTCTTTTAAACTACAAGATTATAGACATTAACAGAGGCATATTAAATAATCTATTACATTTAAAATGTGTCCAAAAAAGTCTGACAGATGTCTGCAGGCAATTATTGAAAGTGTTTATAAATAATAAATAGGGTTTATTAACATAATCTGAATATTTTCCCCCATATGAAAAAGTAGAACACACAAAAGAGTATTTTTAAGTTTATTTTTATTTATTTATTTTATTTATTTATTTATTTATTTTTCCATCTTTTTTTTATAGTTTTGTAATTTAATATTAAATGTCAGGTTTTTTTTTTTGAAGCAGAACTTTAAAATAGTTTCAGTATTTCGTAATGAATACTTTAGAATGCCATTATACTTTTGCTGCTACCAGCTCTATCGTTTAATTTTCTATTAGCTAGAATTAACTAATTAATACTCACAATTAATCATATGAGACAGTTTTGGTTCCCCCTCAGAACTATTTTATTAAATCACTGCTCTGTTTTATGGGTTACGAAGTCATTGCAGATTATATTGCCCCCAAATATTATTCTTACAAAAATAGTTCATATATCCTGATTCATTATTTTTGGCTAATGATTTATTTATTTATTGTATTCATGCTTAGATTCATGCTTTTGAGTTCATACAGTCTAATCGAAATTTTATTATATTTATATAAAAATTTCAAAAGGCAAACAAATTGCATTCTTTATTTACAAACGTGATGATTAATTGTTCAATAGGCTACATTTGTGAAACATATTAATTCAGAACAAAATATATATAATACTTTTTATTGGACGAATTAAACCAATAAAACTGAACATATTAACTTCATATCACAGAAATTACATTTAAATCCGTCCATGGAGTTTTATTTGAAATTAATATAATTTTAGTAATAGTCATAAGTTTATATTCACCTGGGTGTAATGGATTATGCTTAAGGAATTCTAAATAGAAAAATCAATCAAAAATACATTAAAACAAATTCGTTAAATATTAGCTCAATACCAACATCATAAACAGGAAAATAAAACCCCAATAATTTCAGCAACATCTAAAAATGATTCACTAAACGAAGATTTATAGCGATTTTATTAAATCTTAATAAATTATGTAATTTTGCAATAATAGTTTGGGTTGTTTAACTAATATCGTGCAATTCTGAGTTTTCAGCACTCCCCCCCTCCCTTCCCCCAAATCCATAGTTTTAGAAATGTCCATTAGAATTCTAATTAATGGCAACTAAAAAAAAATTAATGAAAAAGTGAATGATAACGAATTCGTTATGTTAATTCAAAATATTAACGTCATAAAAAATAACTTGTAAATTAAAACAGAAAACAGTTGTTTTTTCCCCAGAATCATTCATGTGTATAATTTCAGCAAATCTAAAAAAAAAAAAACCCCACAGTGATTATTCACCAAACGGTGATTTCTAGTCAAATAAAACACAATTTTAAAATGTTTTCATAAAGAAAACTCTGCGATAATGTCAGTCTATTTTAGCTAAAATTTTGCAATGTTCATTTGTCAGGCTCTAAAAAATATTCCCAGGTTATCTAAGAGACTACAGCCTATAGACAAAAAATAAATTAAGAAAAAAAAAGTCACAGTCGCTTTTAGAAACAATGATTACATTTTGTGTTTTAATCGAAAGTGCATTTATAAGAAAGGTCCGTTTAACCCCTTCGCTGCTGTTGAGATGCCTTCTGGCAAAGTAAAGGGTTTAATAAAGTCTTAAAGGATTTTAACACAAATCCCAGGATTCCACAGAAGTACAATTGTTCTAAGACATGCGGTTGAGTGCTGGAGGCAAATCTTTTTTATTTTTTTCCTTTTTCAATTCTTCATGTCCAATCAATTACAACCACTGATTACTGATTTGGGGTGGGTTAAGTCTAATACATAATAACATACTTTTTGTGAGCACCCCCTGTATTGTAGCAGGCCACCCTGGGTTCTGGGCAGTGTAGCTTGCTCCTTAGAGTTTAATATCCTAATTTAGGGTAGGTGGGCTTGTTTCTACATGCTGCCCCCCCCCCTCCTCCTATAGCCCCAGGTAAGGATGGAGACCGTATTTACTGTTTATTTGGGAAAAATTAGAAGGGAGCACAGCCACCCCCCAAGAAGACACTGAGGCCAAGGGCATACAATGAATCGTTTAGATGTCCTTTGTCCTCAGTTTAAAAAGCAGATAAATACCATTGGGAACACACAGGGGGGCACTCAAAGCTCCCACCAAGGGGGGCTATTGTTGCTATATACACTGGACATGTTTTCTTTACTAACAGTTAATTCATTGGATTGGTTTCTGAATAACACAATACGTAGCATGGTAATAATTAACTTTCCTGTAGCAGATGATATTAATTAGACTCTCTTCATTGTGGTGTCATAATAACACATCCATTTATATGTCTTGCTGGCAGTGGGTCACCAAATAACTATTCATGCTGTGTAGTGTATCTGGATCTACATACATTGACTCGCATTCACCTATCAGCATTCTATTGGACAAAAGATGAAATGAGCTGTTTGAGCATGGTACTGAAAGGGTTAACAATGGGTTGTCTTTGGTTCTGAAAGGGTTAAATGTCTGCTAATGTATGTATGTTCGCCGACTGTATGTATGTTCTAAGTAGTCTTTGGTGACTAGGAACATGCAGCCTATACAGTCACTCTTAACTTGCTATGGATTCGAACCCCCATAATGCTCAGCCACACCTGAGATTTAACAGAACATGACAATTCCAGGTATGGATAAACGATCTATGGCAGTGCAGTTTCCGTGGACAGTAAATCTCAGTGTGGATGGGCCTGCCGGGGGCTTGCTGAGCGTGATGGGAGTTTTAGACCACACCAATCTGACTGCAAGAGATAAATCTACTCAACTTTCAGGCTGAGAGCAGTGGTGGTTAGCCTTGTGTCTGTAGATGTGTGTGGACTACAACTCCCACGATGCTAAGCCAACATTTGCAGGGTAATGGGTAGCCATGGCGGCCATCCACGATTTGTGTGGAACTTTGCACCAACTATTCTATATTCTATGTGTTCAATATTAGATCAATGGAGGATATTAATAGCACAGGGTGATGGAGTGGTAGGTTGTGTAATTTCTCGAGGGAGAAGGTTTTAAGGTTTCACCAAGCAAAGCTATATTAATGCAATCCTTCTTTGCTTGTTTTCCAATTAGCTTAATTGAATTCAGATTGCTTGAGTGTGGCCAACAGCGACGTTTAGCTTGATGGGATGACAGCCTGAGCTGAGTAGATCCTATTAGCTCCAAGAATTTAAATCCCAGTTACCTCCACTAGCACCATGTGACTCACACAGAATAATCTGCCCCTCCATTTACTTTCTGTTATCTGCCTGGACTCCCCGAGTTTCCCTTTTACACATAGACCTAGCACACTGCTGGCCTCTAAACTGGACACTTCATTTACAATGTATCGTTAAACATCTTTATTTATTTTACAAAGTGGCAGCATGTTACACAGAGTTTTATACCAGTGTTACAGGAAACACAAACATGCACAAATATAATGTTACAGTTTGACAGAGTCAGAGACCGTGACATGTGGAGGAGGGGGCTCCTGGGTAAATGTCCCTAATCCAAGAATGCAGTTGGGCAGTGCATTTCTCTTAGCTATTAATCTAATGTGGCAGCTTTAAAGGAACACTTTAAACATCTTCAACTGGAGTGTGTCCTCTGTTTTTCATTTTACAAAAAGTACAGATTCCAATAGAAATTAACACTGTTATAAATTTACCTTCTTACACCCCCTGGCTGTCAATCAGACAGCCAGTTCTGTTACTTCCTGGTTCCGTTAGCTCAGTGGAGCTAAACAAAAAAGGAAGTAATTGCCAAGAGCACCTGCCTTGCTAAGGCTTCTCATTTGGAAGTCTGTGATTGGATAGCCCCCTAACGTCTGGGTGGAGATAGAAGGGGAGGGCTTGCAAAGGCAGCCGACAGGAAATCTGCAGTTTTTTTTTCAAACTGTTTTTAGATATAGAAAAATGTGTAATTAAACACATGCAAGTTTTCATTGGGGGTATATCTACTAACTTATTTTTTTAAATTTATTTAGGCAGTGGAGTGTCCATTTAAAGCTTGCACAAAATACAAATATTTCATTTCTGACTGCGGCCTGACCAAGATGCTCACAGTCAAGTAATACTGTCTCAATGTATTATAGGTTGGTGTGATAATGCAAAGGTACAAACGTCCACTTTACCGTAGTATCATACAGAGACAGGCTAGTGTCAAACTGTTATTAAATGGGTTTACAGTTTACTCTCACATGGTGCCGAGGGTGGACTTCTGGCACCATAACCACTACAGCTCACCATAGTGGTAATAGTGTTTACAGTGCCCCCTTAATGTATAAGGAAGTTAGTTGTTGCATGAATTTGTCAGCAATCTTTGGGTACATCAACACACAGCTGTGGATCTGTTTGAAAAAGCCTTAATTCTGGTCTGCTGGTGCACCCTGAAGATTGAGGATTGAAAAGCATTGCTCTAGAGCAGGGTTCTCCAAGCACTGACCCTCCAGATGTTGCTGAACTACAACTCCCATGATTCTTTGAATGAAATAGCTAGCCATAGAATCATGGGGGCTGTAGACTAGAGAGCCATTTGAAGGGCCAGAGTTTGGAGACCCCTTCTTTAGAGAATGTTGTTATGGG